AAAAAAAAAAACCCAAAAACCCGGAAAGAGAAAGTAATACAAGACATCTCAGGATAGACAACTTTTTTCCCCTTGATTTTGACAGATTTTCAAAACTACAGGTAGGTTAGAGAATATATTCTTTGAAGATAAAAAGCACAACATGCATTATTCAAATCTCAACATGAGAGCTACTGTTGAATTTAGATTTATGTGAAAATGTGCATCTGAAGTCTTGAAACCCTGGCAATATACTTTTTTTTTCTTTAAAGACTTAATATGGTCTTTAAAATTTTCAATAAGGTCTTTAAGGATAACTTTAAAGATAAAGTAAGAGTCAACACATCAGTTTCTGAATGTGGAAATCATTTATCATGTAATGTTACTGAAATTAAAGAGAGAATGCTTCTGAGTGTCACAGGGATAACTAAAAGCCACACAAGGAGGACTGCTGGCCATTTCTCTAGTCCACAGGTTGTGCTCAACTTTAGGAGCCCACAGATGGGTGTCCAAATTGAGGCTCTGGAATAGAAAAATTAATGCTGGATTTCCTCCCCTATGTAACCTCGGAAGGATTTAAGGTACACCTTGGGGAATTGGCAAATCATTTCAACATGTATATAAATTATATAACATGTTAAAATTATTTTTAATCTTTTAAAGTAAAAGAAATGTTACAGTAGGCTTGCCCTAGCTTGAATGATTGTGAAAACATCACATAGCCTTCCAGAATTTTGGTTACAAAGAAAACTAGAGTGTGTACGTGTGAAAATTTTTAGAATTGTTAATGGGTTTTGTTTTCTGAAAATGTTGACTGTAATGACATTTTCAATTAGAAAAGCATTTTAGTTAGTACTGTTATATTTTTTGACTCACAGTTGTTTCCTATTTGCCAATGTTTGTACCTCTGATGGCAAAATTATTCTGATAGATTAGATTAGTATTTGAAGCAAATAACCTTCTCAACTTGTGGGAATTTTTTTATACTAACAGTGAAAATGTTAGAGGATAAGATTTTAAATACTTCTTGATTTAAATTAAAATACTATAAGAAATATATGTATATTTGGATTTGAAGGGTTTTTCCCCCTTGATTTATAATGAATTTGGAACTTACAAGAACAATGAGGATGACGGTGCATCAGAGTCATTTAGATAGATGCTGAGCTTTGTCTATCCATGCTATGACTAAGTTCTCTGTTTAAACCCAAATGCAATCTGAGTGACATATGAATAAAATTTTGAAGAGAATATGTAAAATTAACAAAAAACCCCAGAAAACACTGATCATCTCCTTATGTAATGAATAAAGAAATAAGATCATTAATAGTCACATCTCAACATGTATAGACAATTGAAAAAACTGCCCTCACATGCGATCCTGGCACTATCCTAGGCTCCTATAATTACTCTATCTTTTATTGTAAATAAGTCTCCAATCATCAATCTAAATGGGAATCATTATAATGAAATAATTGTAACTGTTTTCTGAAATATAATCATAATCAGTGTTTCCAGTTCAAGGTACAATTGAACTAATCCATAATTTTATCCTTTTCTTTTTGATAAGAGAGTGCTTCATGAGGGTATCTTTGGTAGAGATATTTTTTCAAGTATTTTATAAAATATTCAAGTTTGATGAAGATAGTAGATAAATACACCAGCTGTCAGATGCCTGTAATTTTCACAAAATGTGAATAATTCATTGTATTTTAGGATGACCTTAAAAAAATTCATGGTGTGGAATCTCCAGTTTAAGCATTAGTAGAGATACCAACACTACTGAAATACACAGCTACTAAAAATCAGTGGCAGAACAAGAATAAGTGGTGCATCAAATAATGTAATGTTTTTGCCTTTTATCCTGTAATAACAAGAAACTGTATATTCTCTAGCTGTTGTATGATACATTCTGTAAATATCTGCTAGGTCCATTTGGTCTATAGGGCAGATTAAGCTGATGTTTCCTGGGAATGAATTAAAAAAAAATAACAAAAGTTGGGTGTGTTCATGAATTTCATGCACAACAAATCTAAAAATAGCAAACGTGCAAAATGGAAATTAAAAAAACACAACTGGCACCTGAGGCATATTTCCTTTTCTTTATCCCCAGTGCCATGCCTCTGCTAAAAATATAAATTACAAAGCAAAGGAAAAAAAAGAAAAAATTGCTGCAATACAGTAAAAATCACTACAATAAAAATTTGTAAAATTGAGTTTATTGGAATTGACTTCAGCCTAGTATCATTAATATTTTTTTCTTAAATTTTCAGCATTTATTCCATAATAATGTGATAATAACTGTGTATTACCTAGGGAAAATGCTGTAGATGCATACATTTGAACAGAAATGTTTATAGATGCCATAACATGATACATTTATTTTCTGGTGTTTTTTGTTTATATTATTTAGGGAAATTTTACCTTATGATCACAGATTTTGTTATTTTAATAATGCAGAACTATATTTATTTAATCTACATTTTGTTTTAAAATTATTAAGTGTTATCTTCTACAAATAAGAGGCTTATAATATGGCCAGATATTCTTAGAATTCTTTCAGGTCTAAGGATTTTCAAAAGCAAAAGTACACTGAAAACTTTTTGAAATACATTCTATTTTTGCATCATTTTAAATTTTGTTTCCTTTAAGTTTTATTAAGTACATGAGAAGTGTATTATTTTTCATTGAATCCAAGTGAATTTATGCATATGTACTTATCTTTTATATGAATGTAATATCTTGCTTTCAGTTCCTCACAGGTCATTGAAATTATTTAACCAATGAAAACATTCTCTATGTTACTCCCAAAGTCAACTATGTTTATCAAAATCTCACCAGTGTGAGAAAAGTAACAAGTATAATATTAAAGCATTGTGCAATATCTTTTGAGTTGGAACATAATATTCAGAAAATTAAAATCATTTAAAATGAATATGCAACTTTCCTTTTATTTAAAATCATTTGCTTTAAAATAGTTTTCATCTCTGCATTTTATATTTTCTTAAAAATATGGTGTCTTTCACTATGGATAAGCAGATGTGGTACAGCAGGGCTGCCAGGATGAGAAATACTCTTCCTCTGGATTACACTACAGTTTGATTCTTTAGCAAGATGCAAACTTAAGACAACAAGAAATAGAAACTGGTTAAGTGTTTTCCCTTCCTGCTTTATTCTCACAAACTGCTTCGTCAGTCAACATTCAGATGTTACTCCACAGCTGCTGCTGTCAATCTAAAGGTAGATCAATCAGTGGAGCAAAGGCTCCTGAGGCTTTGCTAGCAGTCCACAGCCCAGTATCTAGAGGTAGTTGGATCATGTTTTTTGCAAAGTGGGATGTGGGTGACGGTGGGGTTGTGTTCTGACCTCCTTTATTTTTATCAGCCTGTGTCAGAAATAGGGATCTATAGCTATATCCAGTCCTAACTTATCTTTGCCTTATTTGAAACAAAAAATGTATTTCTCTTATTAAATAATAAAAAATTTATTAATTTATGCTAGGAAGTAGCCTTTTCCTATCCTTCCTTCAACTGCCCTGTCTCCTTTTCCCTGATATTCAAGGATCTTTTTCATGATCACAACCACATTCTTCGTTTGGCTCTTAGGGTTTTCAGTGCACAGTTCTTTCTTCTCCTTGAGAGCAAGGCATGTTTAGTCAAAACGGAAGGGTGTTTTGTAGGCACCTAATTACTGACTCCTAACTCCAGAGGATTGCTCCTTTAGGAGCAGTACCTGTGTCAGGGTATTCTGTGCCAAATCTTCCTCACCAAATTATTCTGGCTGCTGATGCTTTCCTTGCAGAAATTTCTGTGCCCACAGAAGGTTTCAGAGGCAGATCATCTGGATTAAACAAGAAACGACCCTCAGTAATCACTGATTCTAAGGGAACGTATGTCTTTGAAAAGACAAGAGTTTCACCAGGCCTCAAGATGGTTTATACCGTTTTATTGAGAGAAATGTGCTCATTTTTGCTTCACAAAGAGGCATGTATTGGTGCCCACATAGAGCACTGACACAAGCAGGTAGTGGGACAACAAACTGATTATCTCCCAGAAATGGTGGGCACCAGAGATGTCTGTTTCCGTGGTCACCACAATCTGCTGAAATCCTGCTTGAGAAAAAGAACATAATCACCCAGAGCACACAGTCCTGCTTGGCATTTATAGTACATGTAATATTAGCATAAGTCTCTCATTTCTTTATTCTCCTACTTGGAGAACCACAATGTAATTCTGACCTTATTTCCAATTTCCTCTCAGTTTAGTTTTTGACATCATAAGGGGGATGAGATATGGTACCTCATCAGAGCTCCTATAACCTATTAAACATGCATCTTATGTGGCACTGACTTCATTATATAATATTTCAGTTGTCAGCAAGGTGTCTCTCCCACTAAAATGTGAGTTCATCGAGAGTAGATCACATCAGTTCAACAAGATTTATCAAGTAGCTTTTATGTTCTAGGTACTTTGCCAGGGTTTCGAAATTTAGAAATGAATAAAAACAGTCTCTGATCTTGAGGAACTCATTTATATCTAGTAACCAAGATGTAAACATTATTTTTCAATACTACACAGTAAGTGCCAGGACAGACATTTATACATTACCTTGAGCTCTGAAAGCAGCTCTTAACTCCACCTAAGGGGTCAAAGAAGTATTCCTCAAATTGGCTAATGACCTGAATCTTGATGGATGAGTGGGGATTAGCTGGCAAAGCAGTTTCAGTGGAGGTAGGGGGTGAAGTCAGGGAGCAGTGGGTTACTGAGTGACCGGGTTAAGGAAGCAAAGACAGCAAGTGCAGATTTCTCCTCCCAGAAGATTCAGTGACAATAAAAATGATGTTGTAAAACAGTTTTTTGTTGAACCTATCTTGTGCCTCACGGAGTGCTGGTCAGAGGGAAGCCTTGGTCTTTGCCTTTGGTGTCATAAATATTTAGCGCTATTGACAAAAAATGTGTTTGATTTCTGAGGCTCAACAAAAGCTGACTTTTACATCTAAGTCCATTTTGTGAAGATCCTTCATGAATATGTTGGAGTTATTTTAACAACTCAAGTGACTCAAGTGTTTAAAAAAAATCATAATCAAATGATCTCCTTCTCATGCTGGTTTTCTAAAACTTGGAAAAATAGAAAAGTATAAATTTAAAACAAGTCTAAAAATAGTCCAAACATATAATTTATAAAGAATTAACATTTTTAGGCCAGGTGTGGTGGCTCATGCCTGTAATCCCAGTACTTTGAAAGGCTGAGGGGGGCAGATCACCTGAGGTTAGGAATTTGAGACCAGCCTAGCCAATATGGTGAAACCTCGTCTCTACTAAAAATACAAAAATTAGCCAGGCATGGTGGTGGGCACTTGTAATCCCAGCTACTTGGGAGGCTGAGGCAGAATTGCTTGAACTCAGGAGGTGGAGGTTGCAGTGAGTTGAAATTGTGCCACTGCACTCCAGCCTGGGTGACAGAGCAAGACTCCGTCTCAAAATAATAATAATAATAATGTTTTAAAAGTAACTACTTTACTGTATCTCTTGATGATTCTCTTGGAGTAGGCTAAGCCTCATTCCTCCTCTGTTCCCTTTAAAGAAATTAACTGTTACAAATGTAACAGATGCCAGCTGGCTGTTAACCTATAGAGATGGCAACATCATATTTGAAGAAAAGACCTTATCTATAGTTGATGGTACCTAATGAAAAAAAAGATGCCACGGAGATGTAATCAACTGAGAGATTCTATGCAGTGGAAGTCATGAAGTCTGAAGTCTTGTGAGAATTATACTCTTTCATTTAAAGTATGGAATTGGCCGGGCATGCCTACAATCCCTGCACTTTGGGAAGCCAAGGCTGGTCGAGCGTCTGAATTCAGGAGCTCGAGACCAGCCTGGGCAATGTGGAAAACCCATCTCTACCAAAAATACACAAAATTAGTTGGCTGTGGTGGCACGCACCTGTGGTCCCAGCTACTTGAGAAGCTGAGGTGGGAAAATCACTTGGGCCTGGGGGGCGGAGGTTGCAGTGAGCCACTGCACTCCCACCTGGGTGACAGAGTGAGACCCGTCTCAAAAAAACTAAAAACAAAACCCAAAAAGTACAGAATTCTGAGAAATGAAGCCTTATTTCCATCCAAAACAAAGTTCTTAGGCTGTCTACTAAAGAATTTTGGTGTCGCTGCTCTTGCCTCTAATGACACTAACCATTAAAATATCTTGTTTGACTGGTATTTCTGATTACTGACTGACTATTCAAGAACTTGCAAAATTTTCCATCACAACACCAAATGAGCTCAGGCTAATCAGTCAAGTTCTCAGTGTTACAACAAAGAGATTTTCTTTAATATCTAACTGAAAATGTTCAATAATTACACTACATAAAAATCAGGAAACAGTCAATTTTAAAAAGTAATTTTTAAAAGCTAGTTTGAATCAATATCTGATGCAATAAATATAGGAAATGAAGTTTATTATACAATTTTGACATCACTCTTTCTGCTTAAAGTTCTCTGGGATAATTAAAAATGAACATTTTGTAGTTCTACCAAGGTGCCATGGGCAACTGAAAAGGAAAAGAGATTTTTCTTTTTGTTCCTGCAAAAATATGACCCAGCCACTGAAAATAATTCAAACTGTTTCATTAAGAACTTTCTCTGAAACTCATGATGGCAAAAATTATGGCACATTTCTCAGCCCTCTTCAACTTTTTAAAATATCCTTGTTACAGATGTGGATGAAATGGTTTGAATACGGTTAGAAGCTAGAGAGCTACAGCAGCACCAAACATAAAAGGAACTCAACAAGCAAATCGGTGTGGCAAATCTACTTTGGTTAGGCAGTGAAAAGACCAGTTGCAGTTTCCTCTTCCTCCTTCCTGGAGATACCCAATAGTTATTCTTATGTATTTTTTTCTTTGATGTTTCTGGTTACCGAGTTCAGTGGCACAACAGAGCAGCTGAACTAAAAAATGAAAATGTATAAAACTTTCCATCCAAAGGCTAAATACATACACCTTTTCAGATTGTTGGGCTTGCATCTGTTCTTTTGTTTTTGATCCACTTTCATATTGAGGATCGTGCACGGACTGCATACTTACAATGTTAATCTGATAGTTAGCATTAATAAATGTCATTTATCACATAAATTCCACTTTACCAAGAATCAGCACCAGAACGATCATTTGAACAATACAAATGTTATCTAAATGTATCAACATACATACACACAAACACACACCAGTCTCTCCTAGCAATCACAGTTTGAAAATGTGGAGATGGTAATCCATTGTGAGAACAACTATTCTCTTTTGTTGCCCTAGAAATGCTGAACAATGCTTTCTTTAGAAAATTCCTACTTCAGCAGATTAAATGAAAAACCACCTAGTAAAGACTATCATAAAACAATGTGACCAAGAAAATCACAAAATTGTGAGTCCCCTGAGATAATAATATGAAGGTGAAAAATATGTTCCAGCTGGATAAAGATGCATTTTGTGGTGGCAGTAAACAGTAGTGGAAAATGAAATGGAGGGATATAAAGAGATCTGGAAAAGCAATTTCACCTATTTGGATCTCATCTGAAAATGTAAGTTTTAGAGAAGAATCCCAGGAGCTTTCAGTTCTGTAAACGTTTCAGTCAAAATGGAATTTCTAATAAAAAAGAGACAAGGGATTAACTCATTTTTCCTATGAACAAACAAAATGAAGGAAAAAGGAAGCAGATAGATATATTACAATCACTCAGATCAACAGAACAAAAACAAAAAATGAAGGTAAAATAACTGACCATTTATACAGAATGCTGGAATAGCAAATCAGTTAAAGAATTATCAAATTTAGTGGGCATGATGATACAGGCAGAAATGGGGAGGAAAAACCTGCCTTGTATGTACTTTTGTAATATGCCCATATTGTGGCATACATTTTTACTAACAGAACTTAGAAAAATAAAAGGACTCCATGCCTTCTCCATTAACTGTGATAGATTGTTTTCCATTTGAGCCTGGGGTTGAAGGTAAACTTAACAGATAAAACAAAATATAGACCTAAGTATGTTAGCAGTGGTAAGAATCTGAGCATGAACGTCATGTAAGAGCAAACCCAAGCAAGTTGGTTATTAGAAGGCAGCAAGTATTATATCCCTCTAAACTCTGACTAGTAAATATATGATTGGCTCACATTCTTGAGACTTGTGGTCATTTTGAAAAAAACATTTAACTGTACATTTTTTTTTCTTTTTTTTGAGATGGAGTTTCGCTCTTGTTGCTCAGGCCGGAGTACAATGGTAAATGTCGGCTTACCGCAAACTCCACTTCCCGGGTTCAAGCGATTCTCCTGGTTCAGCCTCCTAAGTACTGGGGATTACAGGCGCAGCCACCATGCCCAGCTAATTTTGCATTTTTAGTAAGGACGGGATTTCACCACGTTGGCCAGGTTGGTCTCGAACTCCTGACCTCTGGTGATCTACTTCGCTTCGGCCTCCCAAGGTGCTGGGATGCAGGCATGAGCCACGGAGCCCGGCTTAAATGTAAATTATGAGGACCAAGCACTCTTTAGTTTCTCTTTCCTCAGTTTACCTTCTTTAAGAAACTAGTGCAGAGTAAGCCTTAAAAAAAAACTAGTTATTTGTTTTCAAATGATGTGATTTACTCTCTGGTCTGGATTTCAAAGATGTGAGTATAATGTGGATTGTATACAATTTTTTAAATTTTACAAATAACATACGCCTACTATCGAAATTTTGGAAAATATAGAAAAGTGCAAAGAAACAGAAAAAAAAAAATCCTCCACCCGGTCAACTGAAGTCACCATTACTCACTTTTTAGTTGGGCCCTATATTATACTTCTACAGTCGCTATACTACTCTAATATCCTGACTTAGTCACCTTTTATGTCATCAGCATTTCCTTGGGTTATTAAATACTTAGCACTTTTAAATTGTTTACGGAGTATCTCATTTTGTAGTAATGCCATATGTTCGGGTTTTTATAACAGCAAAAGAAAAAGGCTACAGCGTATTACAAAACACTTTATCAATGCGCAAAAGAGAAAGGTGGACACAGAAAAGAAAGAGAAAAGTAAGGTGAAAATCATCAATAGAGAAACACATGAGAATCGCTTAATTAGCGGCAAGATAATAGAGCTAAGGTCACATTATTGATTCTTGACTTTAGGACAAAAGGAGTACATGTCACTCACCTCTGTTACAAGTTTATATTTGCACCTTGAATGGCGATTTATTTAATTAGATAAAGTCGCGGTTTTACAACCTAAGCAAATACTGCTAATCCTCCCCCGACTCAATCCCTCTTGAGGCGGCCTTGTAAATGCTCCGACTCCTTCAAAGAAAGCCTCGAGGTATAAAGAAAAATCTGTCCAGCAATCCAGACCTGCGGTCGCCACCATACTCATAGTAACAGGCAGGTGTGTGCGAACAAAAGCCACGGCAAACAGAGCGAAGTTGCACCTATAGCGCAGGCGTGGAGTCGCCGTAGCTCCAGGGCCGCGCATGCGCCAACGTAGCCTCAAACCCCAGTGGTTGAGCCTCTCACTTTGGCGTCACAGGACAGATGATCAGGGTACGTCTGCCTTTTCCTTCCCCCATCTATTCTCCTCCCCTTTCCCCTCCCCTTGTCCCTCCATCTTCTCCCTCCTTCCTCTCTCCCTCCCACTGGCGTCTCCAGCCGACTTTCGCTTCCTGTCAGCGGCCTTCGGCGGAAGAGTGTCCCACCTCTTCCGCTCTACGGCGGCGGCGGCTGAGGTGGTGGCGCTGGTGGCGGCGACGGCGGCGGCGCTCGACCGGCTCCTGTCAGGGTCAGCGGGCGGACCCCTTGGGTGGTCCACCTGCGCGTCGCGGAGCGGCGCCCCGGGGATCGATGGCGATGAACTATAACGCCAAGGATGAAGTGGACGGTGGGCCGCCTTGTGCTCCGGGGAGCACCGCGAAGACCCGGAGACCGGATAACACGGCCTTCAAACAGCAACGGCTGCCTGCTTGGCAGCCCATCCTTACGGCTGGCACGGTGCTACCTATTTTCTTCATCATCGGCCTCATCTTCATCCCCATTGGCATTGGCATCTTCGTCACCTCCAACAACATCCGCGAGATCGAGGTGAGGGGAGGGAGCTGTGTTGGGAGTTGGCGTTGCTCGGAAGGAGGGTCCTACGTGCCCGCCCCGCTCTTCTCAGCTCCTGGGGGGTGACAGGCGGTCCCTGTGCCCCCCCCATCCCCCGCCCTTCGCTCTGTTCCTCTGGTTTCTTCCTCTTTCTGCGGGTTTCCTGAATTTGCAGGTTTGTCCTAGCTTTGTCTTGCTTGCGATTTACGCTGAGACGCAGTGAATGTTTAATGCAGAAGATGGGTCAGGTGAAGAAATGCTTCTTCAGTGGGCGGTTTGTGTAGTTCCTTGGGGATTAGGGGGTTCATGGAGGTAAAAAGAGAAGTGGAGGTGAGTGCACTTGTAGCTAGGTAGATGTAATTCTGAGGGAATTGACAGGGTCAAAGTGTCATTACCTTTGTGGGGATTACACCAAGACACAGAGATTAACACCTTGGTCATTGTTGGGAAAAGAACCAGAGTCATAGAGGTATTGACGAGTCCAGTGTAAAGAAGCTGTCGCATGTTATTAGGTCACATATAAAGACTTATGACAAATGTGCATAGTACTTTTCGTTTTGAACTAATTCGATATTTTAGTTGTAGGGCAAGATATACATAAAAGATAACCTGAAACTTCAATTTTGGTTTTGCTTTTAGGTTACATTCATTAATGTGCCCTACATGTGCTGTAGTTGTTTTGTTTTGCTTTGATAGATTTTAAACATTACAGAAAGAGCCAGTGACCACACTCAGAGAATACGTTGTGCACTGTCTACTAAACATTTTACTGATATTAACTTTGCCGAATATGTAAGACAGGACAGGACAACTTGTATTGGGGAAACATTTCTCTGTCAGAGAAGCACAGTATCTTTTTTCATCTGCAGGAGTGAAGATGGTTGATAAATATGTTAAGAAGTTTAATATATACTGTATAGGTGTCCAGTATTAAGCATCTGTCATCTTTTCTTGCATATCTGAGAATTGTTTTTTTTGTAAATCTATTTGAAAGGGCAGGAACTAGTACCAAGTTCTCTTGATTACTTATGTTCTATTTATATATGTACACACACATTTTAGTAAATATTACGTATGTTTGTGATTTAATGGAAGGTTGAGAGTAATTTTATTTTAACTACTATAATGGAGATGGGGTTCCAGTTTAATTTGCAATGTTATCTGTAAAAGCAAGATTGATGTATTTTTTAATTCTACAGTGCTTACTTAGGTGTTAATAAGTAATAACATTAATAAGAATACCATCTGTAGCATAACTAGTTTTAAAGTTTTTTTTACGAAAAATCATTCTCAATTTAATAACTAAAGAAAGTGTTACGGTGTGTTTTTTTTAGCTTGTATTTTAGTTTATCACTTTAATCTCCCTAATAATCCTGCAAATGTAGTGCTTATTGTTGTAACCACACAAGGATCACGCATTATATTAGGATGTGAGCAAAGTGGTGTCATGTGAGGAACAAAGGCATTGACTGGGGTCAGGCAGAGCTGGTTTTAAATTCAAGCTCAGCTACTAACCAGCTCAGTTTCTTGGAAAATTTCCTTAGACTGTGAGCTTCAGTTTCGTACACAGTAGGTAGAATAATTCATGACTTCTAAGGTGTGAGAATTAGAAGCAGTGTAAATAAGATGTCTGGCACTGAGGATCTGTCTCCTGATCCTTAATCAGAAGATGAGAAATATAGAGAGGTTGAGATTTGACAGTAAATTAGTTAAGAGTAAGGTGTCTTGATTCCCAGTTTTAAGCTTTCACCCTTCACTAAGATCCTTACTGCGATGTTAGTAAAGTGGAAGAAAATAATTTAACATCAGAAATTTGAATGATTTTATTTAAACTTCTTAACATATTAAGATGAAAATAGCAATAATTTGGAATTGTGTATAAATTAGTATTCTCAGAACTCAACTTCCATTAATATTTACTACAGTATAAAAATAAATATTTAACTTTCCTTTAAATTTTAATCAGTTTTGGAATAAAATAAGGTTCTTCACATTAAATAGACGAGATAGAAATTTTTTAAATAGCTCTCGTGTTCTGATCTCAAGTTGCCTCAAGAGTCTGCTGTAGTTTAGTCTGGTTAAAAGGGCACCGAAGAGTCAAGGAATTCAGATTGAAATCCCAGCTCTGTCGTTCTGTAGTGATCTTAAGTATAATTTTGAGTCCAATTTCTTTACTTGAAGAACCAAAAGATTCAGATTAGACTATCTCTAAGAGGCTGTTCAACTCTAAAATTATTTGACTTCCAATTCAAATGTGATTTTTTAAAAATGGCATGTTTAAATTTTATTGCCTTTGGAACAAGAGGAAATGAAAATGAAGAATAATTGGGAATTTTTTACTGACACTGACATATAGCTGTGCAGATAGAATCCACATAGGTATTTTTTAAATTTGGATGCTAAATATATAGAGAAATGCCTCTGAATTGTGTGTGGAGTATTAGAAAAACTTACGGAGATTCCCCAAGCACACATACTGGTTTTCTGCTGTTCAGTACCCTTTGTTAGCCACTAGTGGTAAATGGGTAATGAGAATTTCTTACCAACATTCAGTTTCATACTGTAAGTTACTCACACTATATTTTTTATTTAAAAAAAAAAAAAAAAAAAAAAAAAAACCCTTCATTGCTATATCAGTTCAGATTACTAGGACAAAGGAGATTGTCAAATCCAAATGCTTTTGTAATATAGCTTAAGGTGCCAAGATCAGAAATCCGTACTTTTTCAAGTGTAAAATCACTGGATCTTTCTCATTCCCACGGAAGTGTTACACTAAAAATTATTTTGAAAAGTGTCTTGGACACCCCTGGAAGAGGTGTAACAAGATATTTTTACATTTGAATGCTTATATTTGGTAGCAGATTTCCTCTTGTTATATTTATATATCTTGTTATATATAACAAGATACATAAATCTAACAAGATTGGTTAGATTTAATTGGTTTTTAGATTTTTAATAATTAAATAAAATGAGGCTATAATATCTTCATTTATTATTAGGAACAAGGAATGAGGATTTCCTTTAATTTAGGAATTGTCAGTCAGCCACATCTTTCAGAGGCACTGATTTTCTAGTCTAGGGCCCTTGTTGGTGAGGCTGAGATACATAGAGCTAACTTGAAAAATATAGTGAAGTTATTCTTAACTTTTGTAAAAGCATTTATCAGTGTGAAATTACGTAGTTTTAAATTAATGGTTAAAGTCAGATTTGGTTGTTATTCGGATCACATTTAAAAACTAAACATTTACCTCAGGTTAGTGTTGCCAAAAGCATTCAAGGTATATTTTCAAGAAATCTTAGTGAAATTATCTCCCCATTCTCCACATTTGATAAACTCTCAACTTTCTTCTTCACCTTATTTTACTTACTTCCCTTGATTATTTAATTCTGATTATTTTCTGTTAAAAATAACAGAAATATTTAGTTTCTGATAAAAATTTTTATATGTTTTTACTCTTAAATTGAATTATTAGATTATAAGATTTTTAAGAAGATTAAATTTCTCGTGTATTTAGTAATCTTTGTCATAGCCTTTAGCTAAGAGTCAGGAAAGAATAAGTTGCTTTGTATAAATGATTGTTAAAGATTAGGCGCTTTATGTTAAAAAGTTTGAGGTTTTAATATTTAAGTTGATTTTAGTTACTTAGAATTAGACTTTTGGAAATTAAGGTTTGTGGTGTTAGTGTTTTAACTTGTTTCTCAAGAAAAGTTTGAAGTTTTAATATTCAAGTTGATTTTAGTTACTTAGAAGCAGACTTTTGGAAATTAAGGTTTGTGGTGTTAGTGTTTTCACTGGTTTGTCAAGTAGTGTTAGTACTTAGAGCAAGGAATGCCAAAGTAAATTTGGCTAGCAGGAATATTTTACATGGCCCAGGAACATTTTACAGATGAACATTTGCAATCGATTTGATAATAGGGAGCACTAACTTTGAATCTCTATTATGAGAAATGTCTTCTCCAAAATTTCCATTCTTCTCATTAGTGTTAGTAGACCTATGTTACCAAAAAATTGTACATATTATTGTTGCATTTTGAGTTTTATCAATAAAAATTGATGCAAATTTGTTTTCTCTCTTGTTACATAAGACCCTACATACCTAATATCCTGGATCTTGCCTCTGGGTCTGCAAAGCCTGAAGTATTTACTTTTTAGCCTCTTACAGAAAAAAATTGCCTGCCCTTGACTTAGAGTTTTAATGAATAATACCAGCAAAGTTAGCATTTGCTGCACAAATAGCTATGTTTAATTTACATATTCTACCTCAGTAATTGTTCAAGGTAGGTGTAGTGATCCCTGGCAAGTTGCTTAAGTTCTGTCTTTGAACAGATTTAGTAGATATAAACTACTTATGCTAAATTTACCAGTAATCTTGGCTTAAGAACATCATTCTTTGTTTCTTTGTCATAGTCAGATAAAAATCAGGCAGCCTAAAGGAAGTTGCTTTTGAAAGTTTTATTTTAGTTACCTTTTGTCTTCATTAAGTCCTCTAGAAAAGATGCCAGATAAATTAATGCGGAATAATCTATTCAAGGGGGAGTACTTAAAATACGATTTTATTACTCAGCATTTTGTTGAATGACCTGTTCAGGTCTTATACTGATTTCCTTTTAGACAAATTTACATTCAAAATGGAAGTTTTCCAGTCCTTTTCCTATGTAGTATAAAAAATGCACATCCTTCAAATTCCTCCTTTTCCACTGCATTAAATTCTGAGTGTCTTTCTTAGAATTAGGATGTATGTTTAGAATTACCAAGAAGCAATGCCAGTTTGATTTAGGTGAACAGTTACAGTGGTAGCAAAACAAAATTGAGAAATGTGGTATCTCCTATCTGCTCATTTACATCTGTTCTATTTTGCTTCTGGTTCTTTGTCTTGGATTTTAGCTAATGGGCAAGTCTTCAAACTATCATTGTATTCTGCACTGTACCTTGTATGCTGTTAACATTAATAAGCATTAATTTTTCAAAATGAGGAAACTAGCTCCTTTTTCCACTT